AGGGAATGAAGGATATGTACGATACATCGAAATGTGCACTAAATCAAGATTATAGTATATCAAGAGTAAATAATGAAATACCGAAAGTTTCAATTTTTTAGTGAATTGTTTGTTAGGAAAGTTTTTGTTTTGTTATATGTGTATATGTAATTTATACACATTATTCAATAGTGTGAATTGCCCAGAACAAACAGAATCCAAGTTTGATTCCCTTAAAAAATGACGTGCTCCATTGATCAATTTCTTAACCTCTTTAGGACTGATACATGGAACATCTTCTTCTGGTTCTTCGTCTTTTTCACCATACACGTCGTCTGTTTCAGTAAAAATTTTATTCGTTTAGCATTCCAGTAACTGCAACAACATCCTCAAAATTAATGACTGAAAACATTTTATTCTTCGATTTCTGACTGCAGATGCCATCCGATGAGGGCTTAGATTCGGAAATTACAAATTCTGAAGCCATGGTTTTGTAGTGGCCGTTATCTTTTTCCATGCATTGTCGGCAATGTTAATTATACTCGATTCAGTTGCATCGGGGGATACAAATAAAATCCTGGAAACACCCACCATTGATCACAATAGACCCTTGTGGTCTCTGTGACATGGAGCTCGGTCGACGCTTAGAAAGAAACAACCCCTACCCTTCGTTCATACGTTTAACCCTTTCTTGCCCAAATGTTGCCTCAGGGCCACACTAAACATAGCAAATTGTCAAAAGCTTAGCTAATCCCTGCGTTTACAGTGGGTGCAATGTTTTTCTTCCTTTGGCAACACTGATTTTTTGGCGCAGATCTAAAATCTCCATCTTGGCATCTTCTATCTCCAACATGGCACCTCACCCCACCATTGCAACTTGTACGGATTGTTTTAATGGCCAAATATAAAAATTGTCATATCCGGTTTATGATTCAACCCTTTCTTGCCCAAATGTTGCCTCAGGGCCACACCAAACATAGCAAATTGTCAAAAGCTTAGCTAATCCCATGCGTTTACAGTGGGTGCAATGTTTTTCTTCCTTTGGCAACACTGATTTTTTGGCCCAGATCTAAAGTCTCCATCTTGGCATCTTCTATCTCCAACATGGCACCTCACCCCACCATTGCAACTTGTACGGATTGTTATATTGGCCAAATATAAAAATTGTCATATCCGGTTAACCCTTTCTTGCTCAAAGTTGCTTCAGAGCAATGCCAACTTTAACAATTTTGTTTCAGGTTAGCAGGATGTTTTGTTTCTTCTCGTGTATTGGCAACACTGATCTATTTGACACCAATCTAAACTTCCGAGATTTTCCACTAACTTTTTATCCATATTGCAAAACTTCTCATTGATCTAAGTCAATACTTAAACGGTTAATTGGGATTTCAATGCTAAAATACGAATTATAAGTCGTTTTATCGACTTCGAAGGCAAAAGACCTCGATGGAACTGAAATGCATTGGTTATGTACGATTTAACGTGATTTTTTCAAGGGACCAACACTTCACTACAAAATATCAAAATTTCACTGTATCTCGTTTTCCGAAAGGTTCAGTTGGCCTTGTAAACTATAAATGATTCTCATACACTGCATCTCGACTCAAGAACCCTCCGTCCATCCGATAAATTAAAGAAATTGTATCGAGCATTCTCATCCTTCACGCCAGGCACGTTAATCTAAAAAAAACGGTGTTTTGGTAATTTTCAACGATCCGAAAGCTATTGAAATCGAGTAAATGAAAACTAACCATTTGACCAAACAAAAGGAAAACAATCTACTCGGATAATAACACCCTTTTACCGAAAACAAGGGCAATTAAAGTGTTAATCTTCGTTTACGAGCAGCTTAATTGGACACGCTCCGCTCAGGGAACAAGATTCTTTTAGTCGGTTAAGCGTCATTTATATCTAGAAATATTGAAAACCATTTTTTTTAAATATATTTTGTAGATTTATCGACCAACTTATGCAGATAATGTTCTCTTGGTCGCTATCCGGGATGTGGTCAAAGAAAGATATTTTTAATTTTAAATCTTCGCCTTTCCGAACTTTATTGTACCTTCTTCAGGGCTTGATTTTTGCTCAAAAGTATATAAACTTAAATTCCTTTATTTTCATGTTAACACTGCAAATCTTTTCACTTTCTTCTTCACTTTTTCAACTAATGACTAGACTAATGAATAAAAATATTAGAGACAGTAAAAAGCGTGTAAATAAAAATAAAAACAACGATGACTAGTGTCTTCCGAAAGTTTCCGTTTCCGAAGTTCCGAAAGCTAGGCGAAGATTTAAAATTAATTTTTTTTTACCACATCCCTGATAACAACCAAGAGAACGTGTTTTTAATTTTCACCAATCATGCGGTCTATTTTACATCTGTAAAACAACTGCCATAGTAAAAATGCTGTAATAACAAAACAATTAGCATGGAAAACATGCGAGGAGAACTCAGCCAGTGAATAAACCTACTATAGATATAATGAATAATGACGATGAAAATAACTAACTTTTTTCAGTTTTCTTCGTTAGATCGTGTGGGGATTCCAAGTCTGTCTGTTATACATGGAAAAGTCCAAGGTAACACAAAGATCATTGCAACCGTAGAAATAAGAAAACCACTCTGTGAAATGAATCAGCTCACCACCCAGGCTCGCCAAATTTACCTTACTCATAATTCCATGCATAAACTTCGGCGGGTTTTTCGAATTTCGGTGTGGCAGGGCCAGGGCTAATTGCCACGACGTTGGAGCGGTGGCTGAGTGGTTAGGGCGTCCGACTCGTATTCGGCACGCTAGCGGTTCTGGATTCGAATCCCAGCACAGCCCATGGCTTTTTAATTGAGAATAGTATGAAAAATATTTTGTAAAGTGGTTTGACCCTTCGTCTGCGACACTTAAGGATTAATTGGACGTAAAGCCCTCCTGTATGACAGAAAAATTGGGTCGATCTCAGTTATTTGCTGCGCTAGCGGCCATAGGTTCGCGGGAGTGCCCATAACTTTTTAATTGTAGAACTTTGTGGTGTTTAGTGACCGATAGTTAATGGTTATTTCTGGGTCTGGTGTGGCGTAGTTTTTAGAAAACATTTTCTTTATCGTGCCAACGTTTCGATCTTTATTGAGATCATCTTCTGGGCTCAAAGTGTTTGTTTTCTGTGCGTTGATGTGGGCACTCCCAACACGACACACAATAATGACACAGAAAAACAAACACTTTGAGCCTTAAAGATGATCTCAGTAATGATCGAAATATTGACACGATAAAGAAAATGTTTTTCTAAAACCTATGTCACACCAGACCGCATCTCACGATCTCTAAATAATAATTTTTAACTGTAGTTTAATTGTATAGTATGAAAAATGTATTGTATAGTGGTTTAGCCTCTCATCTGCTACACACAGCGGATAGTTGGACGTTAACTCTCCTGACTGGTATGACTCTGGTGAAGGTGGTGAAGGATATAGGCCCAGAACCTATACATGAGATAAAAAGATCAAACACATCCATCTCAGAATTGGAAAACACAAAAGAAGTGGGCGAACTATAGAGATGCCAGACATAGTAAACTGGTGAATAAAAAACACTTGGCAAACACATTGCTACAGTTAGACATGGTCAGTGATAGACAGGCAGAAGTCACTGGCATCTGAGGAAATCTTCACAATATTTGTACATATAACGATAACGCTATTTCAAGGTTATGCCATAAGAAGGCATAAACTGCCATATTGTCTTCGAATTCGCGGCATATCCTAGAGTAACAAGACGACAGTCAATGACTTAATACTTCATAGGAGAAAGCTCGAGCTAGGAAAAGTACAATAGGACTGAAGGCTGCAGTGCTTAGCACAAATCCCAGCTACCTGGTCATCATCAACATCGTCACGATTTACACCAAAACGTGCTAAATCTCATACAATCCGGCCGTGTAACTCTGTAATACTGGTGCGACCATCGCCGGTCTTCCGTCCGTGAAGACTCGTCGAAAACCGACGACGGATAAATATATGAGTGAGTTCCACGGAAACTCCCTGTGGTGACAACATAAGTTTTTTGTCTAAAATCTTTTCACTTGAATATTATTTAATATGGGAGGATTATGGGCCGGTAAACATATGAGTCCCTCTGCGGCTTTTCCTTCTGTTTCTAGTATTTTGTTTTACACTCCATCTACGTAAATTAAGTTGATCTAAAATACTAGCCTCTCCTAGGTTGGAAGGTCAACTACAGAATAGACACAAAACATATATATATATATATATATATATATATATATATATATACATACATTCACACGCATTTGCATAACTTTGCTTTCGTTTTATTAAAAGCAACTTTTATTTTGATTAAGGAGCCAGTTTAGATTCAGAGTGCGCGAGGCAGGAAAAAAAACATTTCAGCTCGATTGACTATTCAAATCACTAGTACATAATACAATTACGCAATCAATTATTTAATAACAACGTAAATATCGATTAGAAATTTTTAAAGGTTATGATTTATTGATCTTTCCAAGTGAATATATTAAAATTTGTTATGTAATTTAAATATTTACTTTTTCCTGTTGCTCGCCTGTCAATTTACGCAATCTGACTCAATTACCTACCAAGGTAACTATTTTTTCCAAATAAGTCCGAGAAAAATCTATTAAAACTTGAACCATTTGAAAATCGGATCAGAAAAGCCTTGGAAATAATGGGGTTCTGCTTTGAGAATGGGCTTTGCTCCAGGTGGATTACGCCGCCTTTGCGACTTTATATTTCCACGTACGATATAAGATCACATACTTAGAAGTAGCTTAGGCCTGAGCTTATCTGTAGCACCCCGCACCATTTGTTTTGCGTTTAATCACCCTTAACACCCCACTAGTCACCAAATGTGACAGTAAAAATTCTGATACCGACTACACAAGCCAAAATCGATAAATAATATATCGGACTTTTAGCAGACTTCCTACTTTGAAACACTGCTTTTATGATGATTATGACGATTCTAATCATTGTTTATCCTTTTTTTCAGGAGGCTCAACGACAACAGACTCCGGCTAATTCCCGATCTACTTTTTGGAAACATGCCACTTCTCATCCGCCTGTAAATTTTTCATTTATTTTAAATAGTTTATGCCAAAAAATTGAAAGTAAATAAATCGACGAGCTGGATTTTTTAAAAATACGGTTGGACCATTACCAGCCAAAATAAATAGTAGGCAGATTCTAATGATCGTTCGATTTATTATTAATTTTAATGTTATCTCCTTTTAAATCTTATTAGCCAATACAGTTAAATATAAAATACTAGATTTTCAATCAATATTTGAATTGAATTGAATTTATTTGGCATGACATTTTCTAACAAATAATTTGCGTACAAATGTATTTTTGATGGAAAGTGCGTCCTCTTTAGCATATCTCCATTTGTGTACCATACCTCCTGAAAAACATTTTTGTCGATGTTGATGGGAAAAAGTTCACAAAAACCAATCAATATTTATAATTTATTAATCGTTCTCAATAAATCGGTTAATGTCCCTAGCAGAGCATGTAGTTAGAAGTAAAGTAAGAAGGGAAAATTCAAAAGTGAGGTTGGGATGGGAAGTTGGTGTCCGAGCGGATCGAGGTCACGATAGCTCAAGTGGTAGAGCAGCGGCGTATCTAGCCGAAGGTCGTGGGTTCGAATCCCGTTCGTGACACTGACTATTTTATCTCAACCAAAAACNCGACCAAGACCCGAGTGGTTAAATGCCTGGGTAGACTCGTACCCCATCCCTAAAGGGTCCGGGACTTGGTCGGTTCATGTGTCCTGCATAAACCTCTTGGACTTGTTCACGAACCCCAAGATTTTGGAACATTTTATCTCCGGGAGTGATAACCAATACCTTACTTAAAGATTAATTAAATGAGTAAGAAGTAAAGTTTTTTCAAGTTGATTCTGGAGTTAGACAGGGGTGTGAATGAATGAATGAATGAATAAATAAATAATAGTATTTATTTACATGGAATACAACAAACTCAAAATATGTTACAAAATACTTTACGGCATGGACAACAGTCCGTCAGCCGGAGTTGATATGAGCAAACACAGAATAATAATAATAATAAAAATACATGAAATAATTAAATTAAATTAATCTATGAACATACTATAAAATACTGCGATTAAATTAAACAAAATTAAAAAAACAAAATAAATGAATAAATCAAAAACAATAAAAATAAAGCAATACTAGAGAAGAAAATCGAAGAAATAGTAATAATAAAAGCTAACAAAATAAAGAGATATTGTAAAACATTAATAATTAAAGTGTTGGACTAGCTCAAATCTGTAAGTCCAAGCATGCCGAGCAAATCTGATGAGAGGACGACACAGACGGCCATCATTTAACATTGCTATGAGTGCGGGTCTGGTCAGCCTCGCCAGGCCAACGTGCAGGTCGCGAATCTCTGCCAGAATCGAACTTTCGGCGACAAAATGAAATGTGTTTTCCTCCGCTCTGGAATTACATAGAGGGCACAATTCAACTACTTTTTCCATCCATGGAGTGTAATTTAAAAATAGCAACTCGCATCTCAATTTAAATAGCCAGCGGAGCTCTCTAAGCGATGGACCACACGACCGGTCCGCAATCAGGCTGCATATGCCAGCACAATGATCAAGTTCCGGATATAATGTAAAACGAGACGGGACTACAGCTTTTTTCTGAAGCTCCTCATGGTGAAGATTTCATTTTACTCAATAAGGTGGCCAACTGGCCACTCCATAATGACATGTCTTCCACAGTCAATTCACAATCATATCTCTGAGCCAGATCAATCCAATTCCTAAACCAGAAAGTTTTGGCTTTTATTATTTCCAAGGCAGAGATTCTTGGCAATCTATGAGGAGGTAACCTCAACATCCTTAGGCAGTAATCAAAGTGTAACTTCAATGTGAACACTTTAAGTAGATCGACCTCCGTTTCGAGATAAACCATATGGTTTGGAGCTACCGATGGAATACCAAATAATTTTTTAATAAAAAAACGCTGGAACTTCTCAATAACTTCGAATCGTTGCGAACCCCAACCCTGAGCTCCATAACAGACTACGGAAAGACAAACAGACTTAAAGAGACCGAACTTAAATGGAAGAGGCACTAGTTCCTGGGAAAGGAAAACAGGCCAAACTCTATTAATAGCACGTTTAGCTACGGAGACCCTATCAAGAAGATGCGTGTTCATTGATAATATCGGAGTTAAGAACACACCCAAATACTGAGATACTGTCTCTATTGGTTTCCCATTAAAAAACCACTTTTAATTGGATGCAAGCCGACCGTCCGAACGAAAAACTAAACATTTGGTTTTATTTAAATTAACAGAAAGATTCCATAGGTCACAATAAGCCACCAGTTTGTCAATATTTTTTTAGAGCGTTACAGGATTTGTATACAGGAAAACCACATCGTCTGTACATTAGTATACTGACTGACACGTCACCAATGCGAACTGCACCATCAAGTACAGAGGGGAAGGTCATCTAGAAAGAGAGAGAACAAGAGAGGACTTAGCAAACAACCCTGCCTGACACCTGAATCTACCCGAAAAAACTCCGAAACTCCATTGCTCCCATGCACCGCTGATAGTTGGAATACAACGATTTTAAAATATTTATAAATTTGGTAGAGGCACCTAAAATACAAAGTTTGAAGTAGAGGGCTCTCCGGTCAACTCTGTCAAAGGCGGCTTTAAAATCCACAAATAGGCAATATAACTTTTGACCTCTTTTTAAAAATCCCAGCTTGATAATGTTCATTAAGGTAAATAAGTTATCAATGGTGGAATAACCGCTAGACAGGGGTGTGTATTAAGCTCATTTCTTATCTCCATCTTTTTGGACGATCTACCTAAGGCTATGGAAAGCGGGGACCGAGCTAACAATATGAAAGTCAGTTGCGGATGTATGCCGATGACGTCGTTATTATAGTTTAAAACCCCTTGGTCTTCAATTAAATATAAATATTTCGAAAAATTACAGCGACCAATCGGGGCGCTTTGTATTTTTTGTCAGTGCAACTATCTTTTTTCCTTACTGACTCAGTCATCATCCATGATCTTTTAACATTTATGTACTGTATGCCGACTACGATAAACTCTCTTCTTAGCTCTATCTGTCACTGTCGATAGCGTTGATGGTAAAAGAAAATCGATCTATGTTGAGTACTTGTAACACGTTGATGTTCAGCGAGTCGTTATATTGGATAAGCTGGGGTCTCTTTCATCTAACCAATTTTTAATATGTAGTTATGACATAACACAATGATTTGCATGATAGAATGAAGTGACAGGTCGATATATCTTTTCACCTCGACTCTATAGAATATTGAAACAAATTATCGAATATTAATTTATTAGATTGTTATGGCATAGTGTCGTTTTGTTGCGTAAGTTCCAATTCTAAATTTGGATAAATTAATTTATTAGACCTATGTGGTTAAACTCAACAAACTGAATTGTACACTCAAAAAATCTCGGTCACTTTCTTCTCACCTTTTCATATGTAAATATGCTTTGTGAATTTTCCTCTCGCTAGTCATGATTAATTTCTTAAATTCTGGCTTTCACGTTCTAAATACTCCTACAAGTCAAAGTTAATGTTCAAAGGAGAAGTACTGAAATAAAAATGTTCAACTTGTGGGGGATTTCAACTGTCATGTGTTTCAAAGCGTGAAGTTGTGTGGAAACTGTCAAATAAATCACCGTCGGACGAGGAAAAGTTGTGGTATAAAACGTTTAAAAACAATAAAATCTCGACTGTTAATTAAATCTGTTTTATGCGAGGAGAGCGTATGACAGGGTCGGAATACCCTCAAAGTTGTTCACACGTATGAAAAGTCAACAATAGAATTTAACCATAGGAGGCCTCTCAAAAGTAACACGAAGGGTACTGAGAATACAGGACAAAGTTTATGTAAATTCCGTTTTTCCTAACTGCTAAAGCTAAGCAAGTGGGTAGTGATGGTGTATAGGTGCCTCTGACATATGAGAAAATCCTTTACAAAAAGGATCTATTTGATAATGACCCCATTATCGATTATGGAATCAGGAGGAAAAACTGCCATATTATATTCTAATACAAAGCAACCTTGGATAACCTAGGATACCAAAATGACCATGTGTAAAGAATAATAGCAGTACCTTCTTCTTAAAAGTATTGACTTGAACCAAACCAGAGAACTAACAAAAGTTACCAAAAAATGTACCAAAAAGCTGCAGCAATCATCAGCATGGATATACATTTCATATAATTGTGCGCGTTGTCTATCAGGTGATTCAGTATAACAGACATTGATTCCTTAGAAAAGTGGGAGCAAATGTTTTCTGTCCAGACATGTTTAGATTTTAGACTTACATTGTTGAAACTGACAAATTCTTTCTTCGCACATAAAATAAGGGTCTGAAAATGTGAGCAACTATCGACTCGTGCAATATACCCGGATGAGTCTATGAATGTGGAAATGAGAGAAAAAATGACTTTTGTAGAAGGTTGGGATAGATGTTATCCCATATATATGATAATCTCACTCGGTCTGCTTCACGTTGGGCAATTAGCTCATTCAGAGGACGAATCGAAACCTTCTTTATAATAAAAAATCAAAGACATTTCCAAAATTGTGACCGGAGGACGGAAGTGATTCGATTAGAATCAAACTCATAATAATTTTGACGGATGGTTATGGCCCTTTCTTGTCTCTAATTTCGAAATTTAAAAGTCCGTTAATCAAAATTTCACCATCAACATACTTTCTACACGTGCAAATAAAATTTTATCACGACTTCTCGGATTTTCTGTCTTTCTACTTGTGTATGTTGCTAATGGTGTCATTCCCATGACATAGTTTTCTTCCGGCAAATTAATCCTTCTTAATCAACCTTTTTTCATTTCAAATTAAGCTTTTTTAATTGCAAATTTACCTTTTTTTTAATTTAAAATTAACCATGTTTTCCGTCAAAGTAACCGGTTCTTTAAAGTTTAATTTAATTAATTACAATTAAAATTCAAAATTATGTAAAATGAAATATAAAAATAAATTCTTCTTTTTTATTTGATTTGCAT